TTACTCATAGTACATAAACCATGGTAATTCACTGGTGGATAAATTCATCCAGAGAAGCCTGTATGGATGGCAAATAAACATAATGGAGGGCAAATATATCCTGTTCATTGGTTGAATCAAGAATACCATCCTCTTCCATGAAAACAAAGAGGTCTCTGTAAAAGACAGATACCACTCTGTTGACTTCTGCCCATAGACGTTCAATTCTCTGGTTATGAACACTGCGACCACAGATAAACTTCCCCTATTGAGCCACCTGTTCTGAATTATAAAACTAGCCACATCAACATTTTCAACTCCTCTGTCACCTCGAACACAGAAAGGGAGCCCAAATTCTTGAGTACCATTAACAAAGCAATGCAATACTGTGTTTGCAAGGTTATTTGCAAGGTGATTTGGTTTCTTGACACTATACAGGTGATGCCGAATTGGCGAGCTTCACCTAATTGCACAATTAACAGGATCAATAGCCTGCAAAACTTGCCATATTTTCCATCGTTGAATAAAAATACCACAACCTCTTAAGGCTCCCCATATGTAGGACTCACCTGAAAAAGGAGTCAGGCATAACACATCCCTTATTTTTTGAAACATTTCCTTCAATACCTGACAGCTTTGAGAGTTGGCAAGAACAAGCGAAATAGTAACAACAATTTGGACTTGCCCTTCCAAGCCACCGTACTCAACATACCTGGGGTTATTATAGGCACCGTTCTGCTCTATTTGCAAAACACAGTCTTGAAGAGACAAAAAGAAGTTCTCCGAGTCTTCACCGTTACCTCTCACCAATTTAAAATTCCATAACAATACAACAACAGTAAGCAGCTGTACAAACATTGTTCCAATATTGATACTTCAGTGCGCCCGCAACTTTTTACTTTGGGAAGGGTTGCTGACCAGTACATAGTACACCCTTGCAGTCCGCCATTTTCTTTAGTGTCATGTGTTGTCCCATGTGATCATATTTTGGCACAAAAACACCCTCTGACCAACTTGATTGACAGAACAATTCTCGATTGACAAAAAAAAAATTCTCGACTGTTAGGTAAATTCTTGATAGACAAACTAATTCTCGATTGACAAAAAAAATTCTTGATCAGCAAAAAAATTTTAGATAGACAAAATTAATTCTCAATCTACCAAAAAATTCTCAACCAATAAAAAATTGTTGACCTATGAAAAATTTTTCTTGATCCTTTAAAATATTTCTGGACTTACCACCAATATTTCTCATCAGAGAGAAAGTTTTCTCAATCATCAAAAATATTTCTGGATCATTGAAAATACATCTCAAAAGACAGAATTATTTCTCAGCTGACAAAATTATTCTTGACTACTTTGTCCAGTATAGCTTTCCATACAGACACCTTTGGAATCTTGCGACATAGAGAAAGACCTTGGTGTGTGGGTGTCAAGCAATCTTACCTCGGACAAACAAGTATCTGAACAGTGTGGAAAAGCCAACAAACTCCTCGGGTTTGTGTGCCAAGTTTCTAGGTTCATCAAAAGCACCCAAACGTGTCGTACACTGTACCTGTCTGGTGCCATCTCAGCTATGCAACCCAAATATGGTTGCCACAGTCCATTGCCCTAGTAAACCGAGTTGAAAATGTGCAGCGCCAAGCAACAAAACTAATTTTGAAGCTCCCCTTCCATTGCGATGTCACCTATAAGACCCACCTCCAACTAACAAATCTGTTGCCCAGCTCATACTGGCATGAATTTTGGGATAAAGTCTTTTTCTACAAAGCTGTTAATAACTTAGTCTTCATAGATAGTGAAGCTTTACCAGTAAGCAGGCAATTTACAAGATCCACTAGGTCATCAAGCAGCAGTGCTTTTACTTATATTCCTAAGCGAAGTAGAACTGTTACATATTGACATTCATTTTTCATATGCATGTGCCACACATGGAATGTTCTTCGTGCTGGGCTATGCACAAATCACATCTCTCTAGCCTCCTTTAAAAGTTTATTACTTCAATATTACAAAAAGGCTCTAAACCTGTATGACGTTGATGACATTAGAACCTGGAGAACAATCATTCCTAGGTGCAACACAGCAAGGTCTCTCCTATGCCCACCAACGAACTGCTTCTAGCAATTTAAACTTCCTTTTTTGTTTCCTCCTAAGTTTTATGCTTACATATTTGTAGATTTAGTTATAAAAGTATTTTTTAAAATAGATAATTAATGAGGTATCCGCTGTAATTGGCTAGGCTGTAGTGGTCTCCCTGCCTAATAACTTTTGTATTCTTTTTTAACAATTTGTATTCTAGTCAGGCAAAGCCCAATAAATAAATTAAATAACATGTGTAAATAGTTTGTAAATTGTATATTGGGTTGTATTACTATTATTTCATACCACATCCTTTAATAGTAAGCTATTATTGCTTGTAGTGTATTGCAGTTTTTCATTTCTTATAATGTAATTTCTAACAGGTGAAAACTCACTGTGTGGATACACTGTTAATAAACCATTATTATTATTATTATGTAGCATATGCCTCAAATTTTAATTATAGATCTTATTGAATATAGCTGTACTGTTTAATCTAATTTGAAACACTTTTCATAATTTCTCTATTTTTTGTAGTCTTGTTATGGATAGAGATTGTAAATAGTAGTTTTTAGAAATTTCTTAGATGTTTAGTTGCAGTGACATGAATACTCAAACTTTCTGTCAACATAGCATAGAACGTTCTAACAGGTTAATATGTAACTGTGTGTAATTCTATTAGAATAGTTAAGTTGTAAGCATCTAGAATGTTCTAAAATACTTTGTCAATATATATATATAAGGACTCCGTAATCTAGAAGTAATCACTTAATTTCAAATTGAGACGGACTGGTCCCAATGAAGTTCCATCAGAAAAACAATCTGCCAATTTAAGATAAAATAATTCAGTAGAGAAAGAAGTCATTCCCCATGTTCTAAACGAGTCAGGGATTGGGTTCGAGTTGGGACCGCAAAGCATCTATGGATTGATTGAAGGGACAGACGAGTCATATTTACAAAGTAATTCTGAAATGCCTCACTATAATTGTTGCGTTCCTGGCTGTACAAACAGCTTTAGGAACGCTTCACATCTGCATTTCTACAGATTACCGAAAGATGAGTTTACCAGAAAGCAATACAAAGTCATTTTGAAGAATGATTCGCTAAAATTGGACTCCACAAATACTCGAATTTGCTCAGACCATTTCGAAGGTGGCGAGAAACTCAGTCGAGCTCATCTGCCGACTATATTTCCTTGGAAAAAGGCAGAAAGCACTAGACGACAGCTAAAAAGAGTCATCAGCTTCGAAGAAAATCTGGCAATTCAGGAAGCAAAAAAGAAGAAGAGGGAGGAAAAGAAAGACATGGCACAAGCATCAGTGACAGTCGAACATGAGAACAATCGTGAGACACAAACATCTCTCACAGGATTGGAAATCGAAACAATGTTAAAGGAGTTGCAAAAGCTTAAAAAGGACATCAGTGAATCGACAAATGAAAAGAATCAGCTGCTGGAGAAAAATGCCAAGTTGAGTGAAGAAAATGCAAACCTACTCGAGGCAAACTTAAAACTCGAGCAAGAAACAAAAAAGACTAAGACACTCTCTTGAAAACTTTCGTTTCGATATTGAGAAATATAAAGACAATGCTGAAGACATTGCCTTTTATACTGGTTTACCAGACTATAATGCACTGCTGATATGTTTCGACATGGTTAAAGATGCAGCAGAGCATATTGAATATGAACATGAACGAACGCACCCAGGAATTCAGTGTGGCAGACCTCGATGTTTAACCAAGTTCCAAGAGTTTACTTTGACACTAGTGAGATTAAGGCTTGGATTGCTGGAAAAGGACCTTGCTCATCGGTTTAGTGTCTCAAGACCCCTTGTATCCAAAGTTTCAAGGGCCTGGACGAGATTTCTGAGGGACAGTTTGAGCCACTTATTACTATTCCACCCAGGGAAGTTCTCAAACTCTACATGCCTGACATTTTCAAATCCTTCTATCCAGACTGTGTCATTATTGTGGACTGTACAGAGTTTGAGATGGAGAAACCTTCAGCACTTAATTCTCAATCTGCTTGCTACTCGTCATACAAGTCTAGAACGACGATGAAAGCCTTGCTTGGTATAACACCCAGTGGTGCTTTATGTTTTGTCAGTGAGCTATTTCCTGGTTCAACTTCTGACAAGGAAATAACAGCTCAAAGTGGACTGTTGGACAAGTTACAACCTTATGATCAAGTTATGGCAGACAAAGGGTTCAACTGCACTGATGAGCTTGCTTCTGTGGGAGCAGAACTGATTAGACCAGCATTTTTGGTTAAAGATACACAATTCTCAAAAGAAGAAACCAACCACAACAAGATTGTTGCCAGTTTGAGAGTACATGTTGAGCGATTGATGGAGAGAATAAAGAATTGGCACATCTTTGACCACCGAATTCCAATTACTCTTGCCCCCATAGCATCTGATATGTTATTTGTAGTGGCTGGACTTTCTAATTTTTACCCTCCTTTGATTAATTAAAATTTATGTGAATATAAAGCAACATTTTAATACTTAACAATGGTATGGATTTATGTTTTATTGCCTTGCATTAAAATAGCATTGATAAACTAGTGTTTGATAATGTATTATGATATTGCCATCATACCACTGGACTGTAACCAGACTGGTTATAAGTCATTACAATAATCCAAGCACACTACACATGTAGTTAGTAAATATTTTACTCAGTCAAATATGAACATAACTGTGTACAATGTATAAAAATACTGAGTTAATGTGTATAGACAAAACAGATCGCTGTTTCTTTCAAGACAAAGTTTATCTAATCTTAGCTATAGCAAATACCTATAGGGTGGTTTTTAAAAAACCTGTGAAACAATTAATACTATTTACTTTCTAATAGTGCCAGTATTAAACAATAGAAACAAAAGCATTTAAGCAGAAAAGCACTAAACATGTACAAAACTTAGTACGTGTTTCACAGGCTTTTGAAAACCATTCTACCTTCACAAATATATTGTTTACACTCTGATAGTACTAAAAAGTGTGCAACATAATTTGGGCAAACCACTAATTCCCATTAAATTTTGATTTGCCTATTTCATTGTATAGTTTTCTTAAATTACACACTTTTACTGAAATGAACACATTGATTTTGACTGTTTTAAACTGAACGAGCATTCAATTTAGGAATTCCATACTTGACTCTAGGATACACAAGTTCTGGAACAATCCAGTCATTAAAAAAGGATTCTAGCTTGGGCAAAATAGACTTCCAGCGGTCTATTGAAAAATGTACTCTTTCACAAAACAGTGAATCACAGCCTGAACCCTTTACAACAAAATCTGTCCACTTTCTTCCAGTAACAAACATTTGCTGATGGACTTGGTAGAAGTATTTGTGTTTGTCATTTAATCTCAATGCATTACTGTTCTTTTTGCAAATGCTCTTGCGTAACAATGCCTTTTCTAGTGTTTCATCCTTTGATGTTTTCTAAAGTTTTCTAAAGCAAAAAGTGTTGATGCAACATGGTTACATCTCCCATCTATGCCAGCAGGGCATTTGCAGTGGGCTCTTAGCATCTTTCCAAGTGAACTAATAACTAAGTAGCATGTATAAACTTTGTCCTTTTTCATAGATGGGAGGACTTGGCTTTTGATGTAGTGCTTGCCATTTTGTTGTAGGTGGCCTATGTACAGGACATGACCAGATTTAAAAAAGTTGAATCCTTTAACAAGTGGCTTAGCAGTGGAGAGCTGCTTTTTACATTCTACACCTTCGATCATAAATCTCCACACAGTTCCAAATGATATTTTTGGTAGTGCCTTTATATCTGGTTGGAATCCTTCTTTTGGGAATGAATCCTTTACTTCAGGCTCTTGATTCTCAAGTACGCCAAGTTGAGCTTTTTTCCGTAACAAATTGACGCCGCCATCCGGATCACGCAAGTATTTAACATCAAATCCATGCTTGATGTAGTCGTGTACTCTATAAGTCAAAATTAGAGCACTCATAAGTACGAGAGGACTTTATTAAATTCGAAAATTTCGATTATATTAAATTTTTACTCTTAGGAAATTTTAATAATAATTCTGAAAAGGTATATAATTACAAATAAAGTTGTTATAAATAAAAATAACTTATTGCGTGTAAAGGTTCTTAGTTTAAAAGTTGCCAGCTTCGATACGAACCTCGACACTGAAGCTTTCTTTGTTCCAGTCGTTTTTGCACCTCTGCAAAGCAGCCACCTCTTCAACTGGACAACGCTACATTTTTCAACAGAATCCCTTGGAAGTTTTGCCCCAGGAATATCTTCCTGAGTTAGTTTAACAGTTAGTTTGGCTTTGCTCTCGCTTTCAGCCATATTGATTTGGAAAATCTGTCCCTTCAAACAATCCATAGATGCTTTGCGGTCCCAATTCGGACCCAATCCCCAACTCGTTTAGAACATGGGGAATTGCAGCTCAAGTCACAGCTTGTAAAAAGAGAAATTCCACCACCAGGAGCACCATGGATTGCAGACTTGAGTCAGTTCCCAGAAGTTATATACAATTAGGGCAACAAACATTGAGTTAAGTTCTTTTATCAAGAAGCTCAATGTGAAAACGTTTTTTACCTGACCTTTGAATGCAATCAGGATCCAATATAGGATGTATAAAGAAGTCAGACAAGCAAAGAAACAGCACAATTCAGTTACAGTTAGTCCACAGGTGTCAAAGAATTCCTTTTCCCAACTCTTCAAGCAGTCATACATGAATTGTCAATACAATGGAATATAATCCTTGTGAATATTTTACATTGAAAAGTACAAGGTTCTGCATGAAGAACAGTCTACTCAGTGAGGAAGAATTTCAGGGTATGTTGTTGAGTGTAGTTAACCATTATTAGGTAATTTGAATGACAGATTATTGAGAACATAAGTAGTTGTTATACCATATTTTTGCTTTTCTAGGTTACTACTTTGATAGAGCAATTTCATATAAAACCAAAATTAGTATTTATTTTTCATTTTGTAAGTAACTTGTGTTGTGTAATTCTAATTCTGTAATAATGGTAAACTAGAGACAGTATACTTACTATTATTACTACTGATTTATCAATCTATTTTTCTATAACTGTGTAATTATTACTCAGGGAGATCATGTCAGTTGCCATACAGAGTGACAGCGCAAGCAGAATGGCTATGTAATAAGTAAAAGGGTTTTAACTAAACATGACGCAGTAGCTGTATACAGGAAAGCCACTGCGGGCGACCAAATTTCTAGATATGTCTCAAATTACATGGAGGTAATTAATTGACACATGCTGTTGTATGTTTGTGTTTCTTTACATGAAGAAGTTTGTCTCTTTTTCCAAATTAGTGATGCTGAAGTAAAGGCCTCAAAAAAGTTCAAGAAATTCATTTTCCAGTTATAGAAAAATCACCCCTAATCTGTTGCCTTGTGCAGTGCAGGGAAACATACTGGATTGATTCTCTCCTTTCAGTGATGCTCATTTTTGCTGCACAGCAGATTTGTAATGGGGATGACACTAACAACATGTGCATGGACTTAGCCATTCTTGATTGGGTAACAAACTAACATTGTTCATTCTGAAAAATTACTTTGGCACTTTTTGGATTCACTGCTCTCTCTTACTTATTGACTTATTTGTCTTACAGAATGAAAATGTGAATCGAGAAGCATCATCCCTGCAGATGTACCAACATGCCAGGCATCCAAATCACTTGGCAAAGACAAGGGTGCTTCCTTAAAAGACATTTAAATTCCAGGAAACTATCTAGTTTTTTATTCTTAACAACTGATGTCTCTTGGCAGAGACCAGGTTGCTTTCTTCAAGAACATTTAAATTCAGGGAAACTATCTGGTTTTTTAATTTAAACAACTGATGTCTCTTGTGAGATAATTACAACTAGGAGCTGCAATGTCTAGTAAAGTATATGAGGTCACTAGGGAGGACCAAACCACCACATGCTAATGCTAAGTAATCAAAGCCTGACGTTTTACACTAGGTATTTTCCAAGTAGATTTACTCTCTGATGTTTTTACCTGTTACTTTTCTTTGTAGTGTATATCTTTTCCTAACTTATTCAAAAGTCATTATAATTTGCTGTATGAACATTGTAAAATGGACCATAAACAATCTAGTACTTTTGCTCTCTTTGATGTGGGCATTTGTATGAGAATTTTATCATTCCCTTTTATGCCCCATGTAACGAATACCAGGAAGGTTTGGAATATAATTCTATCACAAAAACATGACACCTTTATGTACTACATGGATAAGACAATCCTGCTGATAAATATCCAAGTTAAGCTATTTGCACTTAAGTTAATACTGATATACTGGAAAACGAATATCTTCTATCTGTAAATGTTTTAATGAGCCATTTACAGAACTGCCTCAAGTAATTATTGTAAGTTGTATTTTATTGTAGACCAATCGGTGATTTGATACCCAAAATGTGTTCAATTTAAGTATTCTTTACCACTCATCTGTTACACAGTTCTACAAAACTGCAAAAACTGCTCTGAATCAATTGCATGATAGAGATTTCAACAAAACTGCAAAATGTTGGCCAGTGGATCCAAAAAGTTGCCTACCAAGTGACCAGCCTCACACTTCATCATCCCACATGTCCACAACCTATCAGCAATTAAAAGAAACTACAACTACACAATGAATTATGTGAGTCTGACTCTACAAACAGCAAAGACAGAAAAGCATGAAATCCTGCTCCACTCATTGCAAAACATTCACTCTTATTCCAAAGCCACGAAAACAGGACATGCGTAAAGCTACAAGACTCTGGCTACACCAAAGGCAAAAGATCATTATTAATGACTTAAATTGAGTCACCAAAGCAAACAAGTTTGAGATGAGTAGAGCAGTCATGACTACATTCTGGGGGTACTTCCTTATTAATCCCAATACCTCGGCTTCTAATGGCTATTTCACCCTCAAAATTTTTCTCATTTTGTGTAAATAGGTCTTCTTGATGTAGAAAAAAAATGACTTGACGCTCATGTAACATGCAAGAGACACAATGGTCGTACAAGTGTATTTTGAATAATTTCCCAACTTATAAACACACAAATCTTACAAAATTCCGTTTAGAAATCAGAATAAGAAAGGCAAATGCACACAATAGCTTTCAGATACTTTTCTTTATTAGAAGTTCTTGAAAAACTTCATGTTTACACTGACCCTTCATTGTAACGCTTCACATTTTTCTGAAAGGCAGTTTCTGAAATAGCTCGTTATGGCCCAGCAGGTCTCCAAATAGAAAATAAAACATGTCAGATGAATGGGTTGTACGTGATTGATTGTGTGTCAAAGTTTAAAGTCAAAATACAAGGCCAGGACCTGACTAGAACAAATTGAAAGGCTGAAAAAGAGTCTGCACTGCACTGGTAGTGTCCAAATTAGCAAAAGACTCACCACTTCCTTCTAAAATTTTGCTGTTCCTAAATCAAGTATTGCACTTTGATCAAGCAACATATCTTGGGCTTGTAATAACCGACAACTGTAAGCATTTTAATTTATTTTAGCTGTGAGTGATGCTGAAACATTTTGCACCATGATGCTGTGCTCATGAAAATCTCCCATCAAAGATCCACCACAACTCTGGTGCAGTGGAAACGTTTTGTTTCATTCTCATGACAAACAAGCGGGGGGTCTCAAGGGATTCTTAAGAGCTAAGATCAGTATGACTAATACACATGTTTTGAGTGAATGTATAGGTCACCTGGTCAATGATTACAGAAACAAAAGGAAAAAAATCATACAGTTTCACATAAGAAAGCAGCCAAGGAGCAAAGAGAGATTGAAAAGAGAGAAAGGAATTGGCTGCATAATTAAGAGTGTGGGAGAGAAGAGAAGAAAATCACAAATCGACCTTGCATCTAGTGAAACTTACAAGACAACCACTGAAGAGATCACTCAAAAGAATAACATGAAACAGGTCAGGGATGAGGCACACACTAAAGTCCAAGCAAGGAAAGATATAATACCAGACAAATATCACGAAAGAAAGGAAAACCAGAACAAAGATGATGCCCTTTGAGAAAGAATCACCTGGATATGCAAACAGGACAGCAAAGAAGTGGTGAACAGATAAAGTTCACCTGCTTGCCCTGCCAAAAGTCAGAGCAATGATACAAAAGAAAGATTTATCAGCTGAAGTCAAGGGATGTGGAACAAATTGTTATCTCTCCACAACTTAGTGTATAGGTGTCTTAAAATAGTGATATGGTTTTGATTGTAAATAGTGTTGTGGCAACTTAAGAAATTTGTAAAGATCAAAAAAGTAGTTATGAGTGCATTTATTCTTGGGGATTATACTTAGGGTTAATTATCATTAATTAATTAATACTTTACTCAATATTCAGTATTAATTAATAATTATTTTATCAATATTTTATTATTTGATTAATATTTTTATTAAATTTGTAACATACTGTATGTGTTAGAGTATCCCCAATTAGTGCCTTGGCACTAAAACAACTAGACACAGAAATAAAGGTTATGTATGTATTTATGTATGTATTAGTTAAAAAAGAAACATCTCCATTTCAGCTGTTCAGTTATTTTAAGGATCTCCTGAAGGTGTATCCAAGCCACTCCTTTATGGCTTACTAGCAGCAGGAACAGCTTGATAATTTTCTGGAACATCTCCCTGTTGGTCATGTTGTCTGTATTCAAGATTATTTAGAGGGATACACATGCAGGAAGCAAGATGAAACCCAAAGTGAATGCTTTGATGTTGCTAAAGTTTCCCTGCATGTTTCCATTGTTTATTGTCATGCAGTTGAGCTCATTATGGTGTCAAAAGCACAGAAGAAGACCCCTATACCATTAAAGAGCACCTCTTAGTGATTTCAAATGAGCCCAGCCAAGATTACAACAGTGTGCATCATGTTCAGGAGCTCATAAATAAGAACCTCACACAAGATCTCATATACATTATGATAAAGATGCATGAATAAACTGATGGTTGTGCTGAACAGTACAAATCCCAAGACTGCTTGGGTGACTTGTCCCGCTCTCTCACTGACTTTGGCTATTTGATACAGTATAATTTCCTGAAACATCTCATGCCAAAGGGGAGCAGGACGCTGATGGATCACATATCATGCAGAAACTCAACCAGGCAGTGCCTCAAAGGGCTGCCATCATTAAAGATGCTAAGACCATGTATGATCTCCTGGTCGAGAACTTTTCCCATCCAGCTGCATCAAGCTTTAATGCATGCATGAAGTCTGTTCAGCTTAATTGGCATGTCTTCTTTCATGTTCTTGTCACTGGAGAGGGTGCTGTACAACAGAACAGACCAGGGTGCCACTTTAAAACATTAAAGGGCATCAGGAAATTACTCTGTGTCAAGTCTTTGCCCCAGCAAGAGAAGCTATTGGTTAGGTTCCGTTCCGGTTAGTGTGAACTGCCTCATGGATGACCGTGTTCTCCAGAAGTGCTGACAGCCAGTGTTTTCACAAGCTATTCACAACTCAAGTGCCAGCTACTTCTGTTAGACAAAACCACAGAAAATGATTCTCTTTTTCGGAAGATAATTTCAAGCGTAACTTGAATTTGTGCTTCAAAAACAGTAAGCGAAAATATTATTTTTTCTGAAGGAAACAATAAACAATAGCTATCCAGTGTTAGACATGTGTAAAAGTTACAAATGAGGTGTCAAAACCTTGTCAAACTCAGGCATTATTTCGCTTCACAACTGTTTGCTTTCAAAATTTACCAGTTCCATTTTGTTAGGATCCATGTAGTTTCTTTAATCGCATATTTGGTTTGATCAGTAGCACGATCCAGGGTGGCAAAGCATGTTTACGAAAACCATATTGAGCAAAAAAATATATATTTCAAACAAAACACTTTAAAACTTATATATCCTGTTAGATATAGTTAACCTCTTTGTATTAAACCAAAAATCGTGGTAATAGAGGAAGAATTTATTTTTTTATGGATTTTAGTATTCAGAAAAGTGAGGCGAATTCTTATGTAACGCGTAACATAATCTGACAAAGCATCAAACATATTCAAAAATTTCTTACTTAAAAATTTAAAATTTCAAAATAATTTTGACTTAGAAATACACTAGAAACATAGACTTTTCAATAAAATAGTTAAAATTGGAACACTGAATTGTAATATTCGCGCTACGAAACAATTTTCTCGGCGACCGAACATGTAACGCTGTTTATACAATATTGTACTATACTTCATAGTCACCAAGATTTTGTCGCAAAAAAAGCTCAAATCAGTTTAAAAAAATACATACAATAATTCTCAGATGATTTATTTTCTGTATACAAATTTTTATTCCATTTAATTCAAAGACAGCGTAAAAAATCCAAAAAGTCTGAATCGCGAACACATAAAATGCATAGAAAATTTACCTTAAAATTATTTAATCCTCATCTCCAAAAAGGTCTGTGATAGCCGCGCTTAAAATGAAATTGCTCTTCAACTAGCAGATCTGTCATTCTCAAATTCTAAACTTTCTATCGGTACCAAATGTTCACGAATCTAACTCAATTTAACATCTAAATTTATGTCTTTTTTGAATCGCGAACATATTCGATCTTGGAACAGTATTGTTTGCATTGGTGTATCAGTTTACACGCGCAAAATAGTGGCAGTTTTAGAAATCTTCGCATCTAAACTTCGCTTCTTCCTCGCTTACAACAACCTTGTACATTACATCTAGAGGGGGTATACAACAATTAATTGATATACACCCATGAACAAACGATCGTTTGAGACTGGAAATTACTAGAGAACGTGACTTCCCTAGCGTGACTTCTTCCGTCGAGAATTTACACGCTTCGCTTGCGAAATATTCAATGGAAAACAAAAAATATTCTGCTGATCAATGGAGAAAAGAAAAAGAAGAAAAAAAAAAGCTTAAACAACAAAGGGAATACTATGAAAGAAACAAAGAAGTTCTTGCACAAAAAGCAAGAGAAAGAATGCGCTTGCTTCGAAGCAAGAAAAAAAAAACGCGACAGTCGCCGCAGTGAAAACACGCACATCTGCACACAAAAGGCTGATGACAAAAGAGCCAACCGTGAGCGGAATGCTGCATCAGCTACCAAGAAGAAGGTTTTGAAGCAAAGAGAAAAAGAGAGGGAAGAGAAAAAGCGACAGCAAACTCGAGAAAGGGTTCGAAAACTTCGTCAGAATAGAAAAGAGTCATCATTTGCGCAACCGAAACCTGAAGTCAACATCACCACACCAGCTTTTAGTTCAAGGATGGCAAAAAAACGTGCAAAGGACAAGGTGTCCCCTGCCTTACCTCAAACCCCCGCAAAAAAGGCTGAAATTCTTCAAAACCTTGCAAGTACTCCTCGCACAAGGAAGATTCTGAAAAAAAAAAAGAAGTTCGTGAGACCAGTTGAGGAGCAACAAAATATCGAAGCAATGGAGTGTTTGGTAGAAGATTTGGCAGAAGGATTGTCCAAAGTCAAAAAGCTAAGTCGACTGATGAAAGAGCAGCTTATAACTGTACGCGCTCTTTGGCTTTTGGATCTTCTGTCAAAAAAAAAAACAAGCACCAAACACGGATTGCCAAGATGATGGGAGTAAAAAGAAGCCAGGTGTCCAAAGCTATCAAACATAGAGAAAGAGTTTTGAAGGGTGATGAGGCCTGCTGGTTGAGCACAAAAAGAAATGTCAGGTGTGACGCGATTAAAGAAGAAGATAAGCGTGTTATCTACGATTTTTGGACCCTACAAGCAAGTCGACCCACTGGATCCAAAAGAGACAAGATGCGGCAACGAATTGGCAAAAAGGAGTATGTGGAGCACGCAAAGCATATCCTTGAAAAGACTCAAACAGAGTGTTTCAAAGAATTCCAGGAGCTACATCCCGACATAAAAGTGAAACAACGAAGATTTGAGCAGTTGAAGCCTTTCTTTGTTACTGGAGCTAGAGAGAGAGATAGACAATCTTGCTTGTGTAGGAAGCATGTAGAATGCAAAATTGTATTTGATTCTTGCATGAAATATCGAAAATCCATACAAAATAATGAAGTTCAAGCCTTTAATTTTCTCACTGAAGCTGTGGAATCCACATTGTGTGAAAAGCCAGAAGACTCCAGCTATTCCTCTCTAGACTGCCTGACAAGGAGCTGTGACAAGTGTGGGGTGAAGAACTTCAAGACAGCAGCTGAAGAAATGTCTGAAACTGAAGTCAAGTGGAAACGATATGAATACATAACGTACAAAGATAACAATGGCGAGGAAAAAAGGAAAATCCACTTGGTCCAAAAAAAGAAACTCCTGTCAAAGAGATGTTTGACTATTTCCAGCAACTCCTGAAAGATTATCCCTACCATTCATTTATGGCCAAATGGCAAAAAGAACAGTTTGATCATTTAATGACAAACCTGCCTCTCAACCATATCATCTGTGTGCATGATTTTTCTGAGAATTACACTTGCAGATCACAAGATGAAATTCAATCAGAGTATTTCGATCCTGTGAAAGTCAGCATTCATGTGTCAATTGTCTATCGCCATGCTGATATTGACATTGATGGCAAAGCAAGTACAGAACAAGACCCTGTCCTCATCAAAGAGCACATCTTTGCCCTTTCAGAAGACAACACTCAAGACTACCATTTTGTACACCACACCCAAGGCCTAATACTGACGTACCTTAGGAATGAGGTCAAAGTGAAAGTAGACAAAGTTCATGAATTCACTGATGGGTGTGCTGGACAATACAAATCTAAGCACACTTTTGGTGATTTGTCATGTTCTTTGTCTGACTTTGGGTGTCAGGTGGACCGGCATTTCTTTGAAACCTCTCATGCAAAAGGAGAGCAAGATGCAGCAGGTGCTAATGTCAAACAACGTGCTACTCTTGCTGTGATTCGAAGAGAAGCATCCATCAAGTCTGCAAAGGAGCTCTATGAGTATCTGAAGGACAAGTTCTCTTTGCCATCTTCAACCAACAGCAAAACCACCTTAAACAAGAGAGTATACTTCTACATTCCACTAAATGGAGAAGGAGCTGTTGACAGAAACAGAATTGGCCGCACTTTTAAAGAGCTAAAAGGGATTAGAAAAAATCCACTCTGTAAAAAAACAACTTCTCAGCAATGTAAGGTGAAGACAAGGCTAAGAAGCTGTATGTGCATTGGTTGTTTAACTGACATGGACTGTGAAAATGAGGAGTATGTTGATAAGTGGAGAGAGGTTGAGATGTCAAGAGAAGGAGATGTTGCAGTCACAAGGCAGAATCAAGACTCAGTCAATGTCAGTAAAACAGTCAATGCACTCACTGATCTTGTTGAAGAAGGAACTACTGTCGCCATTGCAGCAGCTGATGACGCCATATATGATTACTACCTCTTCAAAGTTACAAGCAGTGGTGCCATAATTTTGGGTGAAGATGAAGTTGATGACTATAGTGCTGCTTATCAGAAAGGTTCCTTTGTCTTCAAGGGTAACTTTTTCCTAAGGGACAATATTATAGACATGACCTACAAGCTTGACAATAAACAAGCTATTGTGTATGCAAACACTGTCAGGACTATCTGTGGAGAACTCAAGAAATTAAATAGGCGAGAAATGTATTATTCCAGCTTTTACCCAACCAGCATGAGGAAATTATGTCTTCTTTTTAGTTATGTAAATAAAACTGTGTTATTTCTAAACAGAATCGTGAATTTAAGCCTGCAAATGTGTAAATAGAATATATGACCACGCCTGCTATGCATTCTGGGTATTAAGTAATGAGGATAATTTAACAGATAACATCAAATATTTTCTCAAAAAGTAGTTCTTACAATAAAAGTTTATGAATAATCTATGTTTTGATGATTTTTTGGTAATTTTATGAAGTTGCTAGTTTTTCCCTAATGTTACGCATTTGTACCCCTGGATCTTGCAACTGATCTTTCTTTTCTCAGAGCAATATCAAGCACTTTTTAGAAAATCATGTATGCAAAACCACTTTATTTCAATTTCTTCTTTCATTCACTTGAATTCAGTAATATGTGTATTTGTTTCAAAAGTGAATTTAAGCTATTACAGTAGGGAATGGATGGAAAGCATCAAAAAGTTGTAGAAAAATTCATACTAGATTAATACAACTATGCTATTATATTCCTACAAATTAAGTGAATTAATTATTGCAGTTATCTAGTATTGATCATTTCATTGTCAAGATGTGAATTGCAAGAAATAAAACTAACCATTCAAAGCTGCATAACTCCATGCAAACAGCCAGGCACTGTTAGACCACAGGCCTGATAAACCTTATTTTAGAAAAAAGGCCTTTATATGTGATATAAAAAGGCTTTTATATCACATAACTGTAGTTTTTTCATGAATTTGCTTGAAACAAACATTAAAAGCAAAAGTACACATAGAGAAACAATAAATAGAGCATTTTAGCATTTAAAGGATTTTTTGGCCTATTTAATCCAAATTGGAGTCATGATGGTGCAACTCATCCAAGTATAATTTCAACTATGCTTACTTGGACCCCCACACCAACCAAAAAGTCAATATACTGGACATCTTAACCAACCACATAATAGGGGACAAATGGCTGTAAAAGCAAAGTTATACACATGAAAAAATCCCATCATTGTGAGTGCAAATTACTGAAATTACATGATGCAGTTCTAGCAGAATACAGCATCAATCCCATTCAACATCTGGGAAGAACACATCAAAAAGTCCTCCCAAGGCTGTGCTTACACCATCCATCCCGTCACCACATGTGTTTGGACAGGCTCTAAAGAGCTGTCTATACAAACCAAAACTACAGTCCAAGTCCTGACTGACAAGAAAGAGCTCCAAGCCATCCAAGTCAAATCAGTGCAAGATGAAGAACACAAAGGTTACAATAGCACCGGCTTTTTTTTCTTGCAATTACCATGAGCTGAAGTTCAAATTACTGGGTAAGATAATCTATCTATCCTTAACTTTGGAGATGAAATTTTAACAACTTCAGGTCAAGACATCCTGACAATGGTCAAAAACTGTTTTCAAGATCTTCTTTTCCTTGAAATTGTTGTAATTACATAACTTAACTAAATCTGCTGTAGCCAAAGTAGTGTTGTACATGGAACATTTACTGATATTTTTTTTTTTTAATTTCCAAGACCAAAGAAGAAAAATTGTTGTCAGTTCCAGAGAAAACATGTCCTGAATATATTTCGGTGTCTGGTTATGAATACTTTTATATACAAGTACAAGTGCTTGTTCTATGCGTCGATGTTCTAAACTATTAATATTTGCAGTTTTCAATAACTCTTCGTAAGCAGTCGATTTAGAATAATTGAGAAGAGTCCTCAGATCAAAAGATCAAAGATTTGTCACCTGACCATGCAATGTGTGAAAATGACTCCAACTTCAAACGAACTTCATTACTGAATCAACCCACCTCCTTCATCGAGACCCTACGGAAATAAAGGTTAAATTTTCTAATATTAATGTAACACTGGCCTTATTCTTTCGAAGGGTGGATAACGCTATTCACAGGATAAATCCCTATCCAGAGGATAACGCAGTACGTTTCCGTAGCCCATATCCGCTGCATAGCGATTTATCCATCTTTTGAACAACTGTAACCTGGTGAAAAATTTCAGGAGTCTTTCATATAACACCCTGAAAGGAGTCTCTGAGTTATGTTCACGACCTTGCAGAAAACAATTCAATTTTTGGAGGTCCACCTGCGAACACCTCGAATTTCCAAATTATCTCTCGTTGAGACGATAAAGTAAAAGGCAACTATAAATATGATTTGCTACCCTAGCGCAGGGAAACTCGATTAAACTATATAAATTTAAGACTTCCACGTAAGCTTTAAATTACCATACGATTCGCCACCGGCGTGACAGACAACATTAATCAATGCGAAATTGAAATTAATCTTAAAACTTACAAAAGTAAGACGAAGAAAAGAGAATTCTGCTCTAAACATTAATAAAGGAATCTCACCAGCATTCAAGTCAACGCGTACGGTATGCCCAATTATCGTCGTGGTCGTTAGAAGATTAATGTAACCGTTGCAGGATGATTTTTCGTTATTAACAAGCAACAGGAAAACCCCGGTACAGCGGTCAAGGTTGAGGCATGCGCGAGAAGAATCACTCTCGGGTGCTTCCCGCTCAAACCAATCTCAAGCCCAGGGTCATTTTGGCTCCTTGTCAGCGGTATGGTCGGCAAATTGACCTTTTTTTAGAGGCCATTAAAGTTGACCTTTATTTTACCTCTGCGAAAAATACAGAGTACCCTATTTCAACGGGTCACCATGCAGTCTAAACGTAACAAAATAACAAGAAATTTATATTTTCGAAAAGATGAAAGGTTCATCTGCAAACACACAAAATTTAAAAGCGGGATTGCATCGCGTTGTGGCGTAAGAAGTCGCCGAAGTTGCATAATTTTTCATTGTTTTACGGGAGGGTGGGGTTAGGGTTTTCCATTTTTCAGAGAAAGCAAAGCGCGATATAAATTTTAGATCTAACTTTGAAAAAGGTTCATTAAAAGGGTCCTTTAGGAAAAAAAACGGAATTACGAAATTTTGCAAATATCGGCGGATTCTCGATATTTATGGTCAGTGGCTATAAATTTCTCACACAACTAGGACATTCATAGAAATCTGTAAAACTAAATTAAAATAATCACAAAAATATAGGGGAAGCTTTTAAACAAACCGCGATTTACTGGGTTGTGTGGTTGCATGTAGCTGGTTTGAAATAAAAGCTGGTCCTGACAGACTGGAAACACCCCACCTAGACATTCTAACGCTATCACGTGCACAGACGTTTGATCACTGTGTTCATTGGAGTGGTTTGGCAAGAGGACGGGAACGTCAGTTGACAACGGCGCGCGCAGCAAAAATACTGTTCAGAAACTGAGTGGAGAACGTCGCCCCGTTGTGTCTCAGAAGTGACTTTGCAGTCGCTGCAACGAATCGTCAACGTTACATTTGTTCTTGAATATCCTAACTTCGGCTGTGTAAAGATCACTGTCACCTTTGAATTTTCGGTTTCATGGACCACTTTAAGGACAACGAAATTAACTTACTTGAGGATTATCGATAGTTATAGATACGGCAAGTAAGTTGTTGATATGAATCAACATGGGTGATTAAACTTTGAAATTATCCTACTCCAGTTAAGTCTCGAGTCTGCTGATTCATCTTTCAAATTTTGAAGCTCACTAAATGATCTTTTTTCGGTGATTTATGTCGCTATCATTTCGTTTCGTGCTACTAGATCTCAGCACGAGTCATTTTTCTTCATATTTTTTTACTGAATATTCTTCTCAGTCATGACAATACATCTCTTTTGAGAACCATCTTCTTAGAGTTGCAATACACTTTGAATGGAGTTATCAGGAGTTATGGCGAAACCATGTAGAAACCAGTTGTTTACGATGAGTTCCTGTTTAACCATGAAAGAATGACACGAACTCAAACTAGTCATCGACGAAACAGTTAGACTTGAGAATAAGTCTTCGTTCCTGTTTTCTTGTCTTTGTTATTTTCGTTTAATTTATAATCATTATTTTTCTTTAACGAATGAAGTCGCTCAAGACTGAATGAAATTTAGAAAGCTGTGCCGAAATCAAATTGATTGTCATTTTCTTTTGTAGCGAGAGCATGACTTTGTTCACTTAGGTTTCACCGGCGCTAGTAAAAAATTTAGGACATAAAAAAGTGCAAACCCGAGCTATTCTCGAATGTTTTTCTGACTTCAATTCGCTGAACACGACAAAGACGACTATGACAACAAATAACAGAAGGTAAGCTTCGCGATCGTAATATTTCATTTTAATAAACTTCATCATGAAGCAAGTTTCCTTGCAAATGTCCTTGATTTCTGGCGATGTTGACACTACTATCATAATATTTAGTGACTTCATTGCCCAAGGTGTGTTTATCCCATCGTCACCTGCTATACATTTAGTAGAAAAAAAGACGGTTACCTGTTCTTAAAATTAAAATGAAACTCAGGCTATTGGGAAATTAACACTGATTTCCGAATTATGTGCTCCAACTACAAAGTTTCGACAACACTTGTCTGGCGAGAGGCTCCTATCTTTTTCGAGTCAGCTCGAAACTAACTACTAGAGAGAGAATAATATTCTATAGAAACTGTGGTGTTGCATCGGTGGGGGTATAATAAGATAATTGATTTTATAAACTGAGTTGATTATGTAATTTGGCCACCATCATTCGCTCTGACGAAGGGCCAACCCTAGAAACTTTTGCTTTAGAAACTATCTAAGGTGGCCAATATACACTATCATCTCAGTTGATAAAGCCAATTTATTTAAATATCTAGATAGGAGAGAGCCCGTTCAGAGGTCAGTTTCAACTTTATTAAGCACATAGTGTAACAGGCTTTTTCCTAAAATGTAAAATAAAATTCCAAGAAATTTAAGCACTGAGCCAATTATACTCAAGTGTTATGCATTGCTTAAATATGGTACTTAAATAGCATAATAAATATTACTTGTTGAAAAACATCGTCTACATGTAGACAATAAAATTGTAAAAGGTGTGACGGCTTATTTGAAGCTTTCTCATAGGAGGCATTGGTTATTTTTTTGTTTGTTTGTTTCCGCATTATCTTTTAGTTTGATACAAACAAATACGACACAGTTCTCATAAAATAACCGACGTAAAAGAATGCGGATTGCTATTGTTGCAGTTCTACAGAGTAAGATAATATTAACGATTATAAGTGGGGAATTTTGATTCTTATTTTTTGGCGTCGAAAATTTCATTTAAATTGGGTGGATACAGTACATTTCGCTGCTGCTTGAGGCAACGGTTTTTAAAGTAACACTCGAAAACAACTCAATTGAAAGAAAGTGTGAAGCGTCAGGGCTCGAACTTAACTTTTTTGTCTACTAGCAAAGTTTTGCTAGTAAGATTTTTTTTACTAGCAAAAGAAGGAACCTAACTAGCAAATGTTTGCTAGAGGATATTTTTTAGACTCGCAACTTCGAAAAACCACTCGCATTTCGCGAGTTTGCGAGTGCTAATTTCGAGCCCTGTAGCGTGCGGAACAATTTGATATGTAATTTGTGCGAAAATCACGCAAAACTGAACGACATCGACTCAAACGTTTCACGAGTCGTTCCTTTCAAGAACATAATTTGCATCCTCGTCCACGCTTCTAGCTTTATCTTAATTTCTCTTCGAAAAATTTTTTTTATAATTTCCCTGATTAAAAGGGGATAAATTGTACACCAAAATTATGGAAAAAAAATATATATTGTCACTCTGCTTGTTCAAGACCTTAAGACCATCGTACCTCTTTCCAGGTATTAAAGAACAATACCGTCTTCTCGTAGTGCACTTGCGCTCATTCCCCTGATTACGTGATTTTCATGCGCAATACAGGATGCGCGGTGCAAAACTGAGGAATCACCTTAACAAATGTTACTAGTTGCAAAATGTCCTTGGAATTCACCTGAATTTGCTGCTCTGCTAAACTTGTTACACCAATTCGCAATATGAGGAGGACCAGGTTGTTTCAGCGATTTAAAAGAGTTGGAGATTTTTGTTTACCAATCCAACATTTGCTGACCCAAAAATGTTAGATTTTGCTTTCAAATGAGAAGGATTTGTATACTTGACAGGCAATTACTGTGGAGGATAGGGTGGGGCTGTTACAGGAGGAGGTGCTGATGGGTAAGGTGCCACGCCTCCAGGTGCCGGCTGAACTGCTGGGTAGGGAGGCACTCCATCTGGTTGTCCAGTGGGGTAGGGTGGTACTCCAGCTGGTTCTCCTGGCGGGTATGGTGCAAGAGGACCAGGAGGATATGGTTGTCCACCAGGTGGTGCAGCAGGATAAGATCCAGACTTGTCTGCAGAGAAAATTTACACAAAATTTCTTATCATACATTTTATTACTTCCGAGATGTGAAGTTACTGTTAGTATTGCCCCATGTAGTAATTTGACATAGCAAGTGCTTTTAGTTTTGAACCTGATATAACATATGCAATGAATGACCCACACAAACCTTCCATCTTACCAGTGGTTGAGTATTTTAGGGGCAGGGGTAATGTGACTCAGAATTTTTCCTTTCTCCACATTTCACAACAGACGTGATTAAAAAAAAACCCTTAGCTTTCATTGACAACGACCCGTTACATTAAAAGGACAGTTTCCATTGACTTACCTTGTTGTGGGTATGGTGCCCCCACCACCTGACTGTAGGGTGGTGGTGCATAACCTGGCTGTGGTGGAGGTGCATAGCCAGACTGCGGGGGAGGAAAGTATCCTGCTTGGGAAGGTGGGGGCCCATACCCTGGCTGAGGTGCTGGGGGAGGGTGATTTATGGTCACTTGCTGTGGTGGGGCAGTAACATGAGCTACAGTTATGTGTTGTTGTGCTCTTGCCAGTCTCCTTTGACGAACACATCTATAGTAAATACAACCCGCACAAACAAACACAAAAACCAGTGGAAGCAGGATGCCAACCACAACACCACCAAGGCTGCTATCACCTGAATAGAATTAAATAAATGAATTTACTCAAGTATGGTGAAATTCCCTCATTCATCTTAATTAAATGAAATTAAAGAGCATGTACTATCGTTGAGGATTGTACACAGGGATGTCAATGTACCTTGCACAGGTTTGTCTGTAAAAGGTTCTTGTTTTCAAGAAATGATCTTAAATGACTTGCACATACTTTAAATAAGTAAATGGTTTAACCAAAGTTAGGTAACTCAGATTCTAAAAATTCTAACTTGTCCTTTCCAATTGAAATACATGCTTGCATGTGAGGAAAGCACAAGACCAAAACAAATAAGGAAAGGAAAAAGTTGAATTACTGTACTAATATTCCATTCACTTACAAATTTTCATAAAAAGATTAGCTAGAAAATTATTTCTATAACGTTCATAGGAAAATGAACCACTCTAATTGTCAACTTTATCAAAGTGATATTACAAAAGTTTTCCTCTCCACGTTTCCCCGTGGCTTCTGAAAATTACTTAGAAGATCTTCTAAGTAATTCTTTATAATATTTACCACCTATGTCCTAACCTGAAAAAGTTGAAAGCCTTATGAATTTTGTCTGCATAATACTGAAATGGCACCACAGCCAAAATGTCCTGACATATGACTCAAGCATTAGAAAATGTTTCTGTTTGTATGGAATTTTGCCTGCATAATACTGAAATAGCACTGTGGCCAAAATGTCCAGACATATGACTCAGGCATTAGGAAATTTTTCTGTTTGCATGGAACTTTGTTATTGACATTGGTATTAGATTTTCAAATACAGGAAAATATAATTGAGACACATGCAGATGTTCAGTCTTATCAATCAAAAGAGGAGGAGCTGGACTCCCACTAAGCTAAGGGGATGTAAAAATATCAACAATGCAAGCCATAAGGCAAAAAAATAAATAATAATAATAATAATAATAATAATAATAAAGTTCAAAAGCTCAGACAGCCTATTCAATTTCATACCAATTGAGGTGTAATATAATCACCCAGTGCATACAGTATACTGTAACTTTCCCTATGTACATTTGGCTGATATGCGAGAAAGATGTTAAAGACTTACTTGATTCATACATGACATAGCCAGCAACAAACCCACGCTCACTTCTAAAACTGTCAGATTTAAACCTAATCCAAATTCGCTCTTTTGATGAAGTAAAGTGAAAGGGTGACTTTTCACCACAAGCAGAGTTTCTGATGGTACTAGATCGATCATATGAATCAGAGTCATCTCCTCCTACAAAATTAGACAAAAATTGTGAGAATGTTAAATGTCACCTTCCAATACATTGCTGTACAGGAAACACAGTTCAGTATGAGCCAAGAAGAGACAGAGAGGTATGTTTGAATGGGAATCCATTTTAATAATTAACAATTATTTGAAACAGTGGAGGTGAATAGTAGTGGATATTTACCTGCCCTAAGGTGAATAGAGTCAAACCTGCATTACGCTGCTACCCATGGGGAATGGTAATGTGACCCCTTAAGGAGGCTCCATAGGGTTTTTGCTTGATATTGGCATGCACACCAGCATTATGTTTTTCTGGAAAATTTTTACACTTTTGCTTTTCAAGGTCACTAAAAGCCATCAAAAGGCAATGAACAAGGTTTGGATTATTGTTTGCTGTAGTAAATAATAAAAAAATGACTTAGCTAAACTGAAGCTTCATGAAGGGAGTTACTTGTCAGTCATAATTTGGCTTTGCATTTGATTTTCTTCAATTTTCTTAGGTCAAATTTCGCAAAATTTTCACAATTTGTGAAAATTGTCACACCAATCATTTAAAAGCTGAAAAAGCAGGGGTTACAAGGGCAGTTTCCCCACCTCTATCTCAAATTTGGTCTCTTTTTTTCATCAACAGGCACTAGGAAGGGCACAAACATGTTGAACAGTCCAGCAAGTTTTAGGAAATTTCACCAAAGGAAACATGATAAATTTTACTAGAAAGGTTCCTATTTTCTTTGTTGAAAAATATTACAAAATGGAATAGAACTTTAGTTCAGTATCTAAGCATGCATAGACTTTTGAATCTATCACCTTTAGGCAATCTTTCACACAATGTTTTCTTTCAGTTGACCTCTTTTTAAGGCATAGAAGGCCTATGAATATTACAGGTGCAGTTGCTGGAAACCCTAGATTCCATCACAGAAAAACTGCATTGCATTACAATGTTTTTAACTCATCTTTTCAGATAACAATCATGTGATTGTATCAAGTTGCTATGTTTTTTTTGCATGTTGACACTTTCAAAGCTTGTGCTTTGTTCGCACCCTGATCTTGTGCAGTCAAAAACCCAAAGGAGCCTCCCTATTACAAGTGGACTACTTAACCCTTTGACCCTTATGAGTGATCAGCTTCTAATTTCTCTTTACAAAATCACCCCTGCATCACACATTAAGGTGATGAGAAAAAAGGAAATGATCACCAACAAAGAGCAGCTCTTTCTAGTTAAGCAAACTCTCTTTGTCAGTGTCATACGAAATGTATAGAGAACAGTATGGAGAATATGCATACTGATGTTAGGGTGTAAAGGGTTACCACAGGTTCCACAGAATAGAAGTATCAGAAGAATGAAGGAAAAAAAAAAACACCATTTAACATCATAACTGACCACTCAGTAGACAAAAACTTGTTAACATTGATTTTGGGAGATAAACATGGACCAAATTTTGCTCAGAAGAAAATTCTTAGTTTAATTTGATTGGTTTCTCTTTAAGTGGCCATTCAATACAGGTAGAAGACAAAATAAAAAGGCCATTGGGTGTCACTGAAGAGTGACCACAACCGCTTACTAGAGGTGACTGCTAAATGGGGGCAAAAATGACAGTGGTTAAAGGGAACAGATTTTGGGACTTTTACAACCAACCACTAAATACAGGGTGACCTGTGTTGCTTAATATAGACTTGATTGTACTTGACTGTACTGTTTTAGTGTATGCTATACCAAACAAGTAGTTCATTTCTTTCATTAAACCAAAAAATGGTTGGAAGGTAAATTGTGGATGTATGACTTTGTCTCTTCCACTGCTTGGAGGTGAATGGTAATTGCTAATCACCTTCTCACCAGCCAATCAGTGAATGCAAAAAGTATTTTTCACCTGTGTAGTACATACAAATGATAAAAACCACCAATAACTTCTCTCACCTTTTACTTTGACTTTGTCATCATCACATCCAAAATCATATTCTAAATCAAAGTCCATGAAAGCAATTTTAATGCTTTTCTTCCTTCCAACCTCAATCTTCCAGTAACAGTCTTGGAGAGAGGGATAATCTCTAGGCCAATTTGGAGAGCTAATAATACCAGAAGTTGAAGAAAGAGTCCTTGTTGACAAACATGAGCCTTTTTAAAGAGAAGATGTAAGTAAAGAGTTACAAATTATTCCTCCCATATAAAGACACAGCACTGAAAAATGAGCAGAACAACATATTCCCTGCATTTCTATTGCGAAGCTCTAAAGAAAGCTTTTTGTCATAGCAAAGGCAGCTCAGGTTAACTGAGGACTGTTTAAACATTTGATTTCATGATCGAATGATTCCATTGGAATAAACAAAAGATGTTCTTAAATCACACCCTTTTTAACATTTTTCATGAACATGACATGTCAAGGATTTATAAATTTGACCACCTACCTCCCACACCACTTGGACTTCCTGTAGATTCAAATAATTACATCATGTTAGGTAGTTTTGTACTTACACTCATAAATAACACATAAGAACAACCGAATGTGATGTTTTAACAAAGATAGAGAACAAAATGATATGCTACTTACAAATGCTTGAAATTATGAAAATTACTTCATACAGCAAACTGTGTTGAACTCAAATTCTTAGAGTGAGTTCAGTGTACCACAGACTCTGCTTGAACTTAAAAATTTACTGTAAACACCAGTATATAAGCTGTTCCTTTTTTTTCCCACAATTTCCATATCAGATTGAGAATGCCACTTATCTACATCTACAAATACCACAAATTTGCATGAATTAATAAAGTGAAATGAAAGAGTTTATTTTCTTCTTAATATATGATTTTCAATGTAAAATATAACCCAGGGCATGAAATTGCACCTAATACTGGCGCCAACGTGACTAAATTTTTCACTTTGGCGACCAAATCTTGAAAATTAGTCGCCAAATTGGCGACTAGAATGTCTCATCACAACCTTATCGAGAGATATAGTGAATCAGAAAGATTTGCAAAGATAAATCCACGGCAAACTTCCTCGTTAAGTTTGTTTCCAAAACTCAGCACATGCATCTCAATCGATAACTAGACACCATCTTGGATTTAGGTGAGCTTGAACGTTGTATATCATCCAACCTAGTGTCCACTTTGTAGAACGTTATAGATCTTTTCCCTGAATTAATTTTGGAGGGTCTATCTAGAACGTTGACAGTGTAAAAATGGCGAGCAACTTTTTTTGGAAGTGGCTACCACTTTGAAGAATTTAGGAGCCAAGTGGCTATCAGAAAAAAAAATTAATTTCATGCCCTATAACCATAGTCTATGATATTGTATTGATATTCTAACTAATGGTCACTCATAGGAGTTAAAGGGTTAAAATCTCTCTTCTAAACATTCTTCCAGCAAACCAAAATACATGTAGCTTCAGTTTTAGAGATACATTTGTCTATTCAATACTTCATTATTTTCTTTTCTTATTCATATACTGAACTGTTTATTGTATTACTACTTTTTTCATCAATAAAAAAGGAAAACATACTAGATGAAAATGATGTGTAAGTTGCTTGAAATCCTTTGCCTGCACCAGACCCATCAGACTTGAACCTTATGCGCAGGCAGTTGTCCCTTGAATAAACATCAAATGGCTGGTATCCATTTCCAGAACAGTACTTTCCAATGGAATGTCTTCCACATCCTATGAAAATCTCCACATAATCATCATCACAGTTTGGCATTTTTCCCTCAATGTCAAATGACAACCATGTTAGTTTAATTCCAGAACCACTTCCAACTGTGATATCATATGTGCAGTACAGGTTGTTGGCATAAGTTGAACTTGTTAAATAAGATGGTGAAGACACTGTTCCGGAGGAACTTGTATAAAACCCCTGGTTACATTCTGAAGCTATAAACACAGAAGGAAGGATGGTGAGTTAGTAATGCTATCCACAGGAGGAAGGGTGGAACAAAGGGAAGTGTAGAGGGGAATTTACCCATAGACCCTGACCTTGTTTAAAGCAAACTATGTTCAACTATTCTTAGGAGAAAACTGTCATCAACCGTGGTCGTCTATATTCACACAAGGTATTAATGATAAGATTTTGGAGAAACATGTCAATATCACATGGGTAAGATGTGCTTTTTCAACACTCATACCCAACTGGAATATTCCAATTCACATAGACAAACTGTTGAAGGGGCTAAATAGCATGTGAACTATATTCCCTGTCAAAGACTCAAGAGCCTGAAACCATACCCTGTTTATTGCACTGAAACCATACCCAGTTTATTTCACATACATGTACCACTAATGTCCAATAAAGAAGCCCTCCCCTGTAGATTGCAACTGGTTCAGTAGGAGTGAATGCATTAAACAAAGATCTGTCTACACTCAGGGTTGGATCATACAACTTGTGATTTCAACTACTTTTGATCTCCATATTTTCTGGTTACTCGGGAACTGAAAAAAAACTAGAGTATTTATTTGGGAAAGAAACAATTTCAAAATGTTTGAAAATGGCTTTAATATATTTGAACAAACTGGGTTGAAAGTCATTATACAAGCCAAAACTCTAATAATGGCTTCTCTTTGGGTTTTGAAATGTCTGTCTGTATGACAACCTTTACCTCCTGAGTTCACTTCTTGCTGCTGACCCAAGGATAAAGTACCACATTGATTTATACTTTAACAATTAATAACTTGCTCACAATTTCTAGGTTATACACGATTAAAACTTCACCATCACCCATCCATCACATGATAAAAATCTTACACACATAATCTAACTGTTAATTATAATACTTTCAAGATTTCATCAGTTGATGAAGATGAAAATAACTCACCTACAAGGCTAACCTTCAGTAACAGGAATCCTTTCAATACAAAAAAAAAATTATGTTATGATCTGGATACAAGCTATGGATAACAGTTACTGGTGGAAACATCTGGAATTTGTTTTTGTTCCAGACGTGGAATGTTTGAGGGAAAAGTTCATTGTATAATACATAAACATAGGTCTAAAATAACTACACCATGCTGCTGAAACATTTTCTTGGATTTCTGCGGGGAAATTGCTTTTGCAATTTTCAAAAATTGCATAGAAGATCAACTGACTCTTGAATTTTTTAATTTTGAAGCAGATTTTGGCTAGAAAATTGTGCCCAGTTGTCAAACAGTTCTCTAATCTCTTCTGCCTGTTAAACACCATGGTGAACAATTCAAACTACTTGACATTGTAAAAATCTTCTCTTTATTATTTGTATATCCATTAACATCACTTCTTCCCTTCAGGGCTGCAGACACAGTTTTAAAGATGCAATAAAAGTAATTGTTTCATCAGTCAAACTTTTGTTTTTGATTTACTTGGGTCAACTAAAATGTACATTTTGAGGATGTGACAGCTGTAGTATTTCCACATGAAAAAATATCTTGTGAAATTGCTATCACCGCATGCAAGGCCAATCAACTGTTCAAAAATCAATTAATACTCTGAATAAATCTGCTGCAAATGCTTCCTGACATACTCTTCAACACCTGTGAAATTCTATACCATGGTATTGTACAGTTCCATAATTTTTTTAGGTTTTCCATGAACCAAAGAATCTCTGACACGAAATATCGATGCTACGTACACAAAATGATTGGTCCTTGCTGATGACATTTGATCCAACTAAAACCAGCCCGAAAATTCGGAATTCTCTCAATTTGGGAATATTTGTTCTTGGAAAAATTAACAAAGCGGATTGAAGACAAGCGTTTAATGTGTTCATGAACAAGACTCCCACAGCTTTGATTGTAAATAGCTTGACAGTTTTTTGTGACTCAGCAATATTGACTAAATAATTCATCTTTAGCCAAAAAATAGCCGCAAAATCACATACAGTGAGGTTGCTTCAAGAAGAAATTTTATTTCTTAATATTCAGATGTGAATGATAACATACCTGTTAGAAGTATAAGAAACATTTTTTTTCGAATGGTTAACCCTGGTGAAGTAGTATTGCACCATGTAACTCAGATCTCTAGAAAGGGCCTATGGAATCCGTCCTGTAACAGAGTCGAAGCTTTTCTTAGAAAGTACGTTGAAACCACAATCAGCTGTATAACAATCAGTGTGAGAATTTACAATTATCACGAATACACACCTACAAGGTTTAAAACGAACTTATAAAAAGCTTAACATCTGGTTTTCATGAGTGATCATTATTGCTGAGACCTGTGTGAAGGAAGGAAAATATCTGAACAGAGTCCGGCTCTAAGAAAAGATATGACTGAATCATGACGAAGGTTAAAAACTTCAAATGAAACACAGGATTGAATTCATTCGACAGTGGCTTCGTTGCAAGGGTTTCCCTGACTACAAGAATTCGTTGGATTCAAGCTTCACTTTAATAACCTTAGTAGATAAATCAAAGTTACCCTTACCTATTTTAAAATTTCTCCTTTCGTCGTAACCTCATTCCACGATTATGCAGATCTGTGGATAAAATTACAGAAAATACCGTAGAAAGTTCAGCGTAGGCCGAGCCTCACCTGTCACTTGCGCAAAGAGTTCTGGGAAAGCGATTACGGTATGATGACCTGGGACCGTGGGTGAAAACCAACAATAAGAGGGGAGGTCTGCTAGACACGACTTTCAAAATGGCCGCAGCGCGCGAGACTGGTAATTACTTTTAAAAACATGAAACCGAGGTCAGAAAGGGCACGGTTGTGGGTGTAAAGAAAAGGTCAATTTAAGTTGAATGGGTTATCTGTTATGACTCGATTCGGTCGAATTATTTTCAAGAAGAGGAAATGTCGACTCATTGTTGTGTTCCAGAATGTACGAAGAAATGCTACCGAAAAGACGATGGGACAAAAGTGTCTTATTTTTAATTTCTAACCGAGAACCCGTTAAGAAGAAATGCCTCCACGCGATAAGAAGAGGCGAAGGAAAGCATTTCAAGATAACTGAAACAACAACAACAACAACAACAGCATTTATTTAAACACGATAAAAAATTCAGCAAAAGCTGATGTGGTCGTGTACGGACAATAAAACTAAATTCCTAACTAAATCCAATAAAACTAAATTCCTAACTAATTATAAGAAGACTAATGTAAGATTTCTACATAATTTTCAACAATAAAAATTCTACATAGTACATCATTATAACATACGTGGCTTAAAAATACACTTGAGTGACTTTTTAAAAGCGTCAACGTCTTGAATTGATCTCATTTGATTTTCCAGAGCGTTCCACCGAGTAATTGACTTGTATGAGCATGATTTCTTGACCATATCGGTCTTAGGTCTAGGTAACTTAAATGTCATTTTCCTCCTGAAGTCGTAGCTACTTACATACTTTTCAAAGTGACAGCTCATAGGACGTGGCAAAAGATTATAATAAGCCTGATGCGCTAAGATTAGTAATCGTTTCTCATACATAATCTCTAAGGTATTCCATTTTACTGTGGCAAGAACCTCCTTGCTTGGAGTACACCAATCCAAGTTAAATATTATTTTCGCCGCTCTAACATGTATAGATTCTAAGCTTGAGAAAAATACTCGACCACAAGAGCCCCAAACTAACATACCATATGTCACAGACGGCAGAATAACCTTAAAATAGAAATCAATTCTTGCCTGTATAGGAAGAAAATACAAGGATTTAAGTAAATTCAACTTCTGCGTATATGACTTAGCTAATTCCGATACATGATGATCCCATTTAAGAGCATTATCTATCTGAACACCTAGGCATCTTGCAGAAACAACCTCCCCGACAACATAATCACCTATCTTAATAGCTTGTTTTGGCCCAGTAAATTTTCCGCGTCCACCAAGCAATATATATTCCGTCTTGGTGGGATGTGGAGTGAGACAGTTCTCGCAACACCAGGTATATAGCCTTGCTAGTACTTCATTCAACTTGGAGGCCACCAAATCGTAGGTCAGAGCTGAGACATAGACGGTGGTATCGTCTGCGTACATGTGAAGCTGTGGGTCACCATCTATTCCCTCAGTGATATTGGGCAGATCATTACAGAAGATGGAAAACAGGGTAGGGCCCAGCACCGACCCTTGAGGTACACCAAAAGTAACTGGCATAGCTTGAGATTGACACCCATTAATCGTCGTTACTTGCGTTCTTCCAGAGAGGTAATCTCTTATCCAACACCACAAGTCCCCAGCTACACCAAGACTTTGAAGTTTTCGGAGCAGAATGGAGTGGGGAATTGCGTCAAACGCCTTACGAAAGTCTACAAAAACCACGCCTACAACATGTTTCTTGTCGATCGCTTGTCTCCAGTCATCCGTTATTTTCACTAACAACAGCTCGGTGGAATGACCTTTTTTATACGCCCACTGGTGAGGGTTCCCAAGTAATAGTTGACGCCACCATAGACTCCATCAGTTTTCCTGGTACACTTAATAGCGAGATAGGCCTGTAATTTTGCTTAACGGTTTCATCGTCACTTTTATAGAGAGCTGAGATGTTTGCAGCCTTCCAAGTAGCCGGTACACTGTTGCAGGTGGCGCTTATTTGAAAAACAGACAATAAAGATGGAATAATTGAGTCACCGGCATATCCCATATCCCAAATACAAAGATATGCTCCCAGCATTTCAGGAAAGGCGATATTAGAAATGTATCCCGGGCAAAAATGAATTAAGAGATGGAATTGTCCCTTCTGTGTTTCACGGATTCGAACATCGCCACGCAGAGGAAAGGAGCCAGCGGAAAGAAACTTCGAACTAGCAGCTTCGAAAAGTGCATCACGAAAATTGTCTAACCTAGCAGTTGTTCTTGAAGAATTATTAAACGAATCGTCAAACAAATTATCAAGCGAAATGGTCCCAGATCTACGGAATTGTAGCTTAAAAGTCGAAGACGAAACAAAAGCTAATTTTACCGACCAGGAGGTCTCCTTGAGAGAAATTATTGACAACAATAACAAGAAGAATCATAAACTCGAACAGGTAATTAAGGAACTTAAGCGCCAACTGCAAGATACCCAACGTGATGCTCTTACTAAAAGATTGTTTAACTTTGAAAAATGTAAGTCAGAAGATTCCAATGCCGCTTTTATACTGGCTTTCAAAGCTGGGACGCTTTAATGGCTGTTTTTGAGTATCTTGATCATTTCCTTCTGGCGGTCAAAAACTGCAACAACACTGAGTCTGATTACATTGCAGGCAGACCACTAATAAAAAATGGGAGAGCTAGATCTTTAAGGCCCCTTGATGAATTTTTTATAGTCATGCGTTGACTAAGGCAAGGATTCCTAGAGGACCATTTAGCTCAGTTATTTAATGTATCAGCATCCACAGTATGTAGAATATTTATCACATGGGTCAATTTTATGTTTTTTAAGTTTGGACAAATAAACATTTGGCCCATCAGAAAAGTAATCAATGCAATGCCCGAATCTTCTAAGGGAAGGTACAAATCTACTAGAGTCATAATTGACTGTACTGAGTTTAGATGTCAAACGCCAAGCAGCTTGCAGTTGAATTAAGAACTTTTCAGTGCTTACAAAAATCACACAACTTTGGAAGGTTTGGTTGGTATTTCTCCTGGTGGAGCAGTGAAATTCAGAGGTCTACTGTAAATGGGTTCTATCTCCAATCGGGAAATTGTCAGAAGGGGTGGATTTTTAAATCTATCATTTGATGACAAAGGCTCCATTATGGCAGATAAGGGATTCACAGTTTAGGATTTGTTGCCTTTGGTGCAAAATGTTTAAACCAGTTTGGTTTTAGTTTTCCTTTGTATTCTCTAGCATACTTTGAAACAAAGGAGATTAAAAATCAAACTGGTTAGAAAAATTTCAACCCACAACAAATTAAAACTACAAGAATAATAAGAATTTATCCATGTAAGGTAGTTATTCGCAGTCAACAAGTAAATTCATGACAATTTAGAATATTTGAATGTAGAAGCATGGTATTACCAATTCTGTTGGAAAAAACAGAGATGTCATTTAACAAATGGATTCCAAGTTGCTGCACGTCTGTTTAGTAATAGATCACATTTTGACATCCTCTGTGATCTATTACAGAACAGACACAGCAACTTGGAATCTATTTGTTTTATACAATAAAGAATTAAAAAATGTCTTAATGATGATGACATCTATACGTCTGTCCTCCAATAGATCATAAGTGAGAACCAATCAGAATGCGTGTATAACTGAGCTTATTATATAAAACAACATAGCTTTTGCAGGAAAACTGTAGATTACAGGGTCAACCAGATGTTCCGCTAGCTGTTCACAAGACTTCACAGTCACTGTTGTTATTTGCCAGACAATTTCAATTGAAAAGCGTTGCATAAGCAAACTTAATAAAATTTTCAAATTAACAAGAAAGCAGATTCTGCCCTTGTTCGGCCCAGAAACCAGGGTCGTATGTAGTCATGTCATGCACTCGATTCAACAGCTCTGCTTCTGTCTTCAACCTTATTCCCGCGTCTCCACGACATTTAAGCCAGAATTTAAGCTCTGAGATTTTTAAATCCTCAGGTTTTCTTCCAAAAAAAGAAGCGCCAGGTATATCGTTTTCCGTAAGAAATGTCAGATTTGAAGTATTCGAAGTCCTCGCAGTACTCGCTATTGCAAACGAAGAGGGACGCGTTGCAAAAGTTTAGCCTTTCTGACCTCGTTTTCATGCAACTCGATCCAGGACTCTTGCGCTGTCCGCCATTATGAAAGTCGTGCTGGTTTCCTGTAGACTGTTGTCCGCAGTGAGTTAAGACTTGAATATCTACAGGTACAGTGGTAAACGGGTTCGGGAATTTTCCCAAATCGTTGAGTGCCCGCTTAGCATACGAGAGGTACTAGGATTGACGCCTAGATTCTCTATTCAGACTTTAGTTTTTTTTGCAATGGTATGTGGCTCTTAGTCACCGTTCGTGTACTCTACAAATCTAACATAAAAGGCTTCTACCCAATGGAAGAAATACATGAATTAGCAAAAAAATACCATATGTCTTCATGAACGCAGGGTAAGTTTAGCATCATTCAGAACGGCAAGTTAAAAGAAGAATAAGAACAATAATGGCCATATGTGGAGAGTCCTGGTTTCGATCCCAGTACATTCCGCTTGCTCAGGGGGGTGCTCTACCACTTGAGGCAATGCTTCAACCAGTTTAGAGATAAATGAATAAAGGGGCAAGTTTCAAAAGAAACTGTAGTGGGAGAATATAACGAGGTAATTTGGTATTAATGATCAATTGAGTTGATAACGTAAATTGGTTACCGTTAAGAGTTTCAAAACTGACGTTTTGAGCGTTTGCGCTTCGTTAGAACGAATGAAACATTAAAGATAGACCAGTTAAAAATTTTGTTTCAGCTCTTTGCGTTTCACAAGCGTTTTTGAGATTTGGATGTAAACCACTGCAAGTCAAGAAGATTTCAATCTCCCTAGCGGGGAAAGAGTAAAGCTGAAAGGCAAAAATTACTATTAACAGAAAGATTGGGCCATAGTATGCGTGGTCTGTAATTTCCGAAGCTTTGAACCATACGCTGACATCAAACTTAACAGAAGATAC